AAAGCACTTGGAATTCAAGAGAAATCTCTTCCTACAAATCATCCTTCGTTGGTTACTTCCTACAGCAACATTGGTTTTGTGTATATAAAGATTGAAGAGTACTCAAAAGCACTTTCATTTTGCGAAAAAGCACTTGGACTTGGAGAAAAAATTTTTCCTGCAAATCATCCTTCGTTGGCTACTTTCTACAACAACATTGGTGGTGTGTATTATGACATGAAGGAATATTCGAAAGCTCTCTCATATTTTGAACGTGCTCTTGACATTTGCAAAGTTTCATTACCACCAAATCATCCTGATCTTAAAAGTGTGAAAGGGTGGATTAAAAGTGTAAAAGAAGAATTATAATTGTTGTTCTGAATAAATAAATAAATATTTTCTTTACGCAAGAGAAAAATAATTGTATTTTTTTACTTACTCGCGCGCGCTTACGAAGAACATCTCTGTAAGTCAAAGAAACGCAATAGACATAGCCTACCGGTAAGATAACACACATACATAATTGTTTACATTTTTAACATTAAATATCAGAACATTTTCTATAAGCTAAAAAATAAGTATAACACTAGAAGCTATCGATTATCATTGTAATAAACATGTTGAAAATGAATCTAGAAAAGAAAACAAAACGGAAAAAAATAAGAAAAGAATAACTTACCTTGTTTAACTTGTTTTTATTATTGTATTGTATTAAACAAGACCTCGAATGATGAAGAATAGTATATGAGCCACGCCATGTAAGCCACGATCAAAATACACATAACCTGCTCAGTTGAGGTCGTCTGATTTTATTGATTCTAAGATATAATGTAGAGGGAAGAAGCCTTAAGTTTTTTGGCGCAAGTCGCTTCTAAAAATATTGAATCCTCACTGCTTTATAAGCACTTTACGAAATACCCCACATATGACAAAATTGACAAACGAGGGTCCAAATCGGACAATTTCTTGGGAACGACTGAACAGGTTGAAGTGAAATTTTTTACACGCATATATCCTCCTAAGACCTGCTCACCATAAAACTTTTTATTCCAAAAGTAGAAATAGTTAGGATTTTACAACTTGTTCATCATGATGATTTTTGGAATGAGATTTCTCTCCCAAGATATCGTTCAGCTTCAGAGCTGGTCTTCTTAGTTTGATAGTACTTCCTCGGGGATACAAATTCATAAAAAAATCAGTTTGAAATCCCTAGAAATGCTGTAACGGAGACCATATTTCGGAAAGTCTCTGTAATGTCCAAATATGATATATATACAATTTTCGCTTTCAATTTTCATTTTATGTAATAGCCTTAGGTAATTTTTCTAGTAGAATACAACACTCACATCCATTTTGCTCCATTTTCAGTTCTCCTTGAAGAAATAAGAGGAAAGACAATGATATATCATTGAACAGTTTTGATATGAAATTATTTATTTTCTTTGAATGACATCAAATACAGGTAAATTTTATTATTTGTATTCTATATTTCTTATATCTGAATATTAATTATAAGATATTTTTAGTTTACTATTGTCGTATATTTATTTTATCTTTTCTTTGATTCTTACATAACAGTGTGTGCGTGAGTAGCTGGGCACTGGTGTGGACTCTGATAAAGATTCACACCCATCCACACCCTTAGTTACTATATATCCAATACATGTACAATTATGGCAAGGAATTATTGTATTAGTTGAACAATTAAGACAAAAAGTTACATTACAAATAGATGTTAGAGTTGCTTGGATATCTGACGATGCACACATTTCTTTCATATTAATATCAGTATCAAAACAAAACATAATTCATCAATAAGTAAAATATTCATATTCGTCAACAACGTGCCACGCTACATCAAATATGTACTATATTGAGTTGAACTTGATTATAGATATCACCTATTCTCAGTACAACTGAACAGATCTATTCATAAATGAATAACATATTCGAACGTTCTTATTTCCAACATTTTCAATATAATCTTCTAATTTTATTTCAAGCTAACGCTCATATAATGAGATACAGGTATTTACTTCAAAAATTTCACTACATTTTTGATTTGCATACAACAAATGATGATAGATTCGATAAAGCCGAAGATTCTTGTATTATGTACTTTATACGTGCAGTCATAAATTCGTTACTCGGTTTTATTCTATTCTATTTCAAATTTGAGTTAAAAGTATAATTTTTCATTTACTTGTCAATGTCTAGTTTTTAAGTCAGACAATAAAATACTATGTGCTGAATAAATACATAGAAACAAATCGAAAGATTGAATTTTTGATTGATGAATATTTATTAGAATAAAAAAAATAAAAGGCATAACAAATAATCTAACTACTGGATAATGTTCGATACGATGAGAAAATAGTTTATGATTGTGCTGGATTATTGTTCAGCGGCTGTGTATTAGAGTCACATATTCTATGAAAAAAAGATTAGATAAATGACGTTATTATTGGTCTTAGTAATAATAATAATAATAATAATATTTAAGTGAGACTTTAAACCTACAGTACATAAGCAACTTTTTCTCCCTCCATCCAAACCCTATAATCCATAACAAAAAACTTACCACTAATAAATAACACGACGATGATCAAAAATGCGACGAAAAAGATGATCAAAAAGATCACTAACATCATCATAAGCAGTAACAGCATCATCAGCAATTTTACCACCAACAACAGCACCAGCATCGCCAACATAAGTAACTAAATCATGAATATCACCAGCAAGAGCAACAGCAGCATCACCAAGACGACCAGTATCCTCAACGGCACCATGAGCAGCAGAAGAAATACCATTAACAGCACTAGCGACTTTAATAGCAGTAATAATATCATCAAAAGTAGGAAGTTCGTTCTGTTGTTGTACCATATCTCGGAGAGTTTTACTATATTTGTTAATGGAGGTATGATCACGATTGGTGTTGAACGCTGTTGTTATTATCATGACGAAAAACATGATAACAAGGTACTGAGTTAGTGTGTTGTTGATCATTTTTCTATAGTTGAATTTAATAGGAGTATGCACGAATGAATTATTAATATCAGATATTGGCTTAGCATATATAGTATTACTGTTGGAATAATATATATTGCGTTGCGTTAGAAGAGATGATCGTATAGCGCTGCAATTGTTTAATATCTTTTCGAAGAGAGACAATAGATACCATGCAATGAAAAAAATAGTTTTCTATTGCTATAGAACAAAAAACCTTTTTTTTTTAATGTAACTGCACGTGTATAGCGTCGTCGCTTACATGACAAGCAATGACTGTCGTCGATTGATTAGTATGTTCTATCTCGTTACTTGACGTGGCCACGCAATAGAATATTACTTTTTCTTGTCTTTATTTTTAAACAGAAACGAAAAATATTCAACAAATAAGCCTCTCATGATGAGAGAACGAAAGAAAAAAAACGATATTTATTCTGAAAACATCTCATGCGTAACATTGATGAAAAGAGACGAAAGTTGAAACATGCATTTATATATGCATATCAATGCCACTTTCATGTAAAAACCGTCGGCATCGTCGATTATTATCGATAAATTTCTAGTAAAAATTCATTCAAATATAATAGTATAAGTCGGATACAAATTACACTATTTTAAGCAAATTTAGATTAAGCTACATTCGTGTTTAGAATAAGATTGATTCAAGTAAGTAATCGGAGGCTTATTTCCATATAGCATCACCAAAAATAATCTAGAGAACTTTTAGTCAAACTATCTAAGCAGTGACGAGACGTATTGCTTGATAGAATCGATGGAAAAGTATCGTTGAAGTTCGCCATTCTTCAGAATAAATATTATAGTAGACTTTGTCCAGTGCTTTTATTGTACAATTAAGAACCATTACCAAGCGTTAGCAATTCAGCATTAATTATCAAAGTCCACATCAGTAAACGAAAGTCTTAGATATAAAAAACCTTTTTTTCATGACATAAGTCTATTCAAACATCAATCATTACACACAGCTTTGACATCTTTGCAATATGAGATATTGTTTTTATCAAGAATTATTTTTAATATTTATGAGTCATTCCATGTAAGCCACGACCGAAATACACATACCCTACTCAATCGAGATCATCTGATTTTATTCATTTTAAGATACGTTGTAGAGAAAAGAATCTTGAGTTTTTTTTGGCGCAAGCTGTTTCAGAAAATATTGAATTCTCGCTATTTTATAAGCATTTTACGAAATACCCTATATATGACAAAATTGACAAATGAGGATCCAAATCGGGCAATCTTTCAGAAACAACTGAACTGATTGAAGTCAAATTTTGTCCACATGCATATTCTCATAAGACCTCCTCACCATAAAACGTTTTGTCCCAAAATTCGGAGCAGTTAGGATTTTATAACTTGTTCATCATAGTGATTTTCGGAATGAGTTTTCTCTCAAGATATCGTTCGGCTTCACAGCTGGTCGTTATAATTTGATAGTATTTTCTCAGGACTACAAGTCTATGAAAATATCAGTCTGGGATTCCTAGAAATGGTCTGTAACGGAGATCATCTTTTTGAAAGTTTCTATAATATCCTTATATGATATATACAATTTTCATTTTTATTTTATGTAATAGTCTTAGATAATTTTTCTAGTAGAATAAAATGTTCATACCTATTTCGCTTCATTTTCAGTTCTCCTTGAAGAAATATGAGGGCCAACAGTATTATATCATTTAATAGATATGATGTGAAATTATTTATTTTCTTTGAATGACATCAAATACAGGTAAATTTCATTATTTGTATTCTATATTTTCTATATTTGATTGTTAATTATGAGATATTTTCATTTTACTATTGTTGCATATTTATTTTATCTTTTCATTTGAGTCGCACATGATAGCGTGTGTGTGTGTATGTATGGGTGTCAGTGTGGAAGTAGCTGGATACTGGTGTAGAAGCTGATAAAGATTCACACCTACACCGCATACTCACACCTACACCACACCCTAGATATTCTTTTAGTTCGATTAGAAAACATTAAAAATGATTCGTATCTTTTCAGAGCCAGACGAATTCGACAGGAATTTATTTGAGAGACTGAGGGTGGGTGTGGATGTTGCTTGAATCTTTATCAGAGTCTCACTAGTATCCAGCTACTCCGACACCCATACTAACACCCTCAAGGTTTAAGTAATGTCGATTACACTTATTATATTTCTTTTAATTTCATCAATTTGATGAAAATACAGTAGGAGGGAGTAGCAAAAGCTTTTGAAAAGATTGAGTTTTGCTCCTCTGCGTAACTCACCTATTTATACATGCGTCACTTTCGTTGACTCTGTATCTATACAAGAATGAAAAAGACAGATAGCAACAGTAATAATAATAATAGATTGACGTTTGCTTTCTATGTTATCAATGTACTTTTTTTTGATGATGTCTCTTATTCTTCGTATCTGCATTAGTATAAGAACTGATAAAATAATATCCTTTGTCGAAGAATAAGTGACGACATCATCATCAAATTTTCTTTTCATAAAATGATCTTGAATTTCTAACAGTCACATGTATACTTGCTTTCAATGATAGCTTTGTATTTGAAGATTTGAATGAAAATATATATATAAATTATTTCTATAACATGAGAGAAAGAATATGTATGTCTCTAAACTATGAAATGTACATTAGATAATCATCTTAATATATTACAGTATAACCATTCGTATAGTACACAGAAACCGACTGAAAAACTATTGATAATATTTTTTCTTGCACGCTCTTAATTGATATATGTATGCGTGTTTCGATATCAGATTTCTGTCTGACTCACTCGTTTTCTTTTTTATCGATTGAAACACAAGTTAATTAATAACATATTGGATTTGATAAAATAGAAAAGATTTCATGATCTTATTTCAACCAATCGTGAATCTAATTGTTACTCATTGATCAATCCAATGTCGGTAGAGTGACTAATAGGTAAACATCGTAATAACCTTTTCTTTTCAGTTATTCTATCATAAATAAATTTCGTTAATAAAAGAAATAAAATGATATACAACAAAGCGCTCTTCTCATACTTTTTCGATAACAAAGGACAAGCTGCAGTTATTATGTAGATAACGGCAGATGAAAGTTGGAAAGAAAAACCATAAGACACAATAGATTGTTGACTTTTGCTTTGTTTCATGTTCGTCTATTGATGCTGCTGATTTCTCTTTTTATTGTTCTTCGCAAGAGTATTTCCGAGTGAAGCAAAGTAGACTTCATCTCCAAGTGTCAACAAAAGATAAAAACATTTTGCATCATAAAAAAATCCAAGAAAAACAAATCATTGCCTATATAAACTGTTGTTTTGTTCTCTATACTCATTCAAAAACACTTATTTATAAGTTCACATTCGCCAACAAGTTTCGATTCACATCAACATGAGTGCACAGCAATCAAAAACAAAAGATTTTGTCATCCTACAGTTCAGACGCATCTAACACCACTGTTACAACAATAGCGCCATCAACACATCAGTGCATGGCCCAAAATTATCTGTTGGTTTGGCTCGATGTAAGCATCGATCAAACCAACATGGATTGTCAAAATACACTGATACAGTTTCGAGCTGTTCTCAATGATGGATGTGGGTGTGAGTGATATAAAGAAGATACATTCAAACCCACACCCACACCCTAGTTTATATACGGATCAGCGTACTCGACTGGATGCCCCATATTAATAGATATAGATTCAACTTTTAGTATTTTTATTTCTTTTTAAAATCTTAACTTGAATTTGATTTTTTTATTCACATAATTATTTTCAGAAAAAATGTCGAAAGAAAATATTCTATTTAAATTGTTTTTGGTATGGCAATTGTCACTAACTGCACTATGGTGGCCCGGTAATGATATCAAGGGCATTTGCGATGCATTAAAGGTTGGTGTCAAACAAGCCAACCAGGATTCAATTTCTATAAGCTTCATTACGACGAATGAAGCGGTATCCAGTGAAAACCTGAATCAACTGGAGCCAAACTACATGTACACACAAATATTCAAGGAGATTCTCCTTGAAATGGAGTATGATCAAGAACAAGCCATCAGGATCCTAGCAATATATTCCTACCAATTTTATTTTGACAATATGGCAGAATTAAATGTTATTCGTGAATTTCGACATAATTATCGTCGAGAACAAGCAATTTGGTGGTATACACGAGAGTGTTTTATCTATCAAATGCTCAATCGAGCACTTCGGACATTGGATGCCGGTACAATTATTAATATGGGATTTTTTATACGTGATCTCCATCAACAAATTAATCAATTGCATCAAGAGCAACTTCCAAATTATCGTGATAAGTCTTTTATAGTTTACCGAGGCCAAGGCTTGTTGAAAACTGATTTCGACAAGCTGAAAAAAACAAAAGGTGGTCTCATGTCGTTTAATAACTTTTTATCTACCAGTACGAAAAAAAATGTTTCCCTCCAGTTCGCCAAGGGTGCGTTAAAAAATACGGACATGGTGGGGATACTTTTTATAATGACTATTGATCCTCGTGTTTCATCAACACCATTTGCCTCTATTAATGAAATTAGTTACCTCAGCAGAGAAGAAGAAGAAATTCTCTTCCCGATGCACGCCGTATTTCGAATAGGTGCAATTAAACAAATGAACAATAATGATCAACTTTATCAAGTAGAACTTCAACTAACCGCTGATGATGATGAACAACTTCAGCGAATTACTAAATACATAAGCAAAGAGATTGACAGTAGCACACTATGGAACCGATTAGGTATGCTATTAGTTAAAACAGGTCATTTCCATAAGGCTGAGGAACTGTATATAGCACTACTTGAACAAACATTGAACAAGACTGAAAAAGAACACTTTTATAATCAGCTTGGACCTATCAAACACGAGCAAGGCGATTATGAACAGACTATTAAAAATTACGACAAAGCACTTGGAATTCGAGAAAAAATTCTTCCTGCAAATGATCCTTCGTTTGCTACTTACTACAACATCATTGGTTTGGTGTATAATAACATGAAAGAGTACTCACAAGCACTTTCATTTTATGAAAAAGCACTTGGAATCAAAGAATTAACTCTCCCTGTAAATCATCCTTCGTTAGCTACTTACTACAACATCATTGGTTTGATGTATGCGAAAACGGAAGAGTACTCAAAAGCACTTTTATTTTACGAAAAAACACTTGGAATCAAAGAAAAAACTCTTTCTGCAGATCATCCTGACTTGGCTATTTCCTACAACACCATTGGTTTGGTGTATGATAACATGAAAGAGTACTCAAAAGCACTTTCGTTTTACGAAAAAGCACTTGGAATCGAAGAATTAACTCTCCCTGTAAATCATCCTTCGTTAGCTACTTCCTACAACAATATTGGTAGTGTGTATAAAGAGATGGAAGAGTACTCGAAAGCACTTTCATTTTATGAAAAAGCACTTGGAATTGAGGAAAAAACTCTTCCTGCAGATCATCCTGACTTGGCTATTACCTACAACACCATTGGTTTGGTGTATGATAACATGAAAGAGTACTTAAAAGCGCTTGCATTTTACGAAAAAGCACTTAGAATCAAAGAAAAAACCCTTCCTGAAAATCATTCTTCGTTAGCTACTTCCTATAAGAACATTGGTAAAGTGTATAATAACATGGGAGAGTATTCGAAAGCACTTTCATTTTACAAAAAAGCACTAGCAATTCAAGAAAAAAGTCTTCCTCCAAATCATCCTTCGTTAGCTACTTACTACAACAACATTGGTGGTGTCTATTTTGAGATCGCAGAGTACTCGAAAGCACTTCCATTTTTCGACAAAGCACTTGGAATTCATGAAAAAATTCTTCCTGAAAATCATCCTTCGTTAACTACTTACTACAACATCATTGGTTTGACGTATGAGAAAACGGAAGAGTACTCAAAAGCACTTTTATTTTACGAAAAAACAC